CAATTGCAACTCGCTTGGCTCGCGGACCTTTGGTTGCGTTTGGCTGACAGCTCGGCGTGCATTAACTGTCAACACTTGTCGACCGACGATTGCTTTTCAACAATTATGACAAAGTGCCGGATGAAATTCAACTTTTGTCCATCTGAAGAGTAGCAATGGATATGCTACTCTATATCAGTTAACGGATTTTTGGTGGAATTATTGGCAGGAACTATAAAACATAAATATAAAGTAATCTGAATTTGTAGTTAAGCAAGTTGTTTAAAATGGGGATCGTCTTTTTATCGTTGTAAAGTTTAATTGAAAAATGTACTTAGTTTAGTTTTGTTTAACCCAAAAGTTTTAACTTAATTTTTATCTCATTCTAACTTTGGAATATTGCAACGCCTGGCAATTGAATCGGAGGCCTGTCTTCTCCTCTGGTTGACCCGTTGATTACTCTCTACCTCAACCTCAATCTTCACCTCCTTTTCATTGCAATCGGCGAATTGGCCCACAAGTGCTTTTCCGTTTGACAGGCTGCTGATGGGCCAGAAGCCCAGCGAGTTTAAACGGCGCTTAAGGGCTGCGGCTTCTGTGGCATCTGGGAGCGATCTGGACAGCGTTTTTATCTATGCATTTATGCCCATTTAATTAAAGACCCGCACTCGTACATACATTCTCTGGCCGAGTGTGGGATATTATTTAAAATTTGCATACAATGAAATTAAATGCAAATTACTAGAGCAAATATATACGCTGATATTTGTCTGCCGCCAACGCAAACAAGCTACATAAATGCGCAATTTCGGTTTATTAAATTACGTTTAATTTTTGCAAAACAACTACGAAACCGTTGTGTATTTAAGTATGTGTTACATTAGTAGTTTCTGATAATATTCATTGCGAACATTTTTCGTTCGTTTTTTTTTTTTTTTATGTCGCATGTTTCCTTTTTTAGAGGATAACAATTAAAATAAATTATGTTGCCTAATTAGCTGGCTGGCAATTTTTGGCATTGGAATTTATGTCGTGTAATTTCTTGTTCAGACCAGAATATTAATTAAATTCTTAGTTTTTGCCGCCAATGGTTATTAGCTATCATTTTAGTTTACCCATAATTAATTTCGCCTTTGTGTTGTCCCAGCAAATTGCAATTAAATTTCATTTCCACGGGCTGAGGTAGTCACACAAACAAAAAAAAAAAAAACTGAAAGGAATCCAGAAAAATTGCGTGAAAAATATCAAAATCAAATTGTGTGCGTAAATAAATTGAATTTTGATTGCCGTTTGCCAGGTTTGTTGCTGCACTAACGAACCTCCATTGTTGCCACGCCCACAAATGTGCTCCTCCCAAAACCAAAACCAAAAAAAAAATCCACTGTCAGTCACTCACTCATCTAGGCTTTATTAATGACGATTTGTCAGCGAACTGCACGTAGAAGCGCCGAACAATATGCAATGCAAATTCGTGCGAAAATTTCATTTTCTCGAATTCAGTTGGCGCAATTACATAAAAACCCCTCATTCGCCTCATATGTTTCTATCAACAGCAAAGGGCAAGATAATAGCATAGGAAGTTACATTAATAAAGGAAGTTATTACATTTTTTGTGATAAATCAAGATGGTTGGTACATAAAACATTTGCAACATTTTATTCCTACAAATTATAGTAGTTATAATTGAAGACAAATGGTTCGTATTAGCTATTTTATCAGTTTGTAAAATCATGCTTACATTTTTGCACAAATATAAAGTTCAGCTTTTTTTACGGAAATAGAAAAAAGCAAAAAAATGTAGCTATTATTTTGCCTGCTACTCCATATATATATAAATTCGATTTGAGGTCGAAACTTGGAGCGTGCCGATATTAATAAAATATTCATGGCATCAATCGGGTCCTGACACATGCCCTGGAATCAGACCATGACAATGGCTGGCCAAATTTATGCTAATGTATGGCCTAGCTGAGTTGCCAAAGTTGAGAGTGGTGGCCATAAGAACGGATTCGCGTATTAAAACTCCATTTTCATGTACATAATCCCTAAGCTCTGTCGTACAACAATTTGAAGGTTTAAGCCTTGCATTTTAAATGCCCAATCGAAATGGAATCGCTGCGGTTTAAACCCTGTGACTGACACACTGAGAGAAAATTCAGATAAAAAGGATGGGGGCAACTGCTTTGACTGATTCGTTGGGCATTAAAAGTCAAATTCAAATGGCCTTTGTCAAATGCCATGAACTCTGCCAGGCGAATCAAATTCGTTGGGCAATATGTCATTCCATGTGCTACTTTCCTGCTCGTGTGCCACCCTCTCTATATATCCTCTATTTCCTCCGATATTCTTCTCCTTTTTCGTCCTTCTATATCTCGAATGCTGAGTGGCTCCTGCTGTTGGTCCAGTGATTATGGCAATTCATTTGGTCAACCGGCCATGCTTCTTCCTGGGACTGGACTTTCTGCCTGGCCTCCGTTCTCCGTCCTCGGTTCTCGGTTTTCTGCTGGCCATTCACATTTATGGCTATATTGGCTAGCAGCTCGGTCTGGCTATTTGGCAGGCTTCAATTAATTAATTGACCTGTAATGAGCTGCCCTAGACTGACATTGAGTGGGCAGAGAAATGAGGCACTGGAGTAATAAAAACCTTTCCTTATGCCCGCTCTGGGAAATTCTTGGAAAAGTAGGCTTCTGCTCAAAATATTTTGGGAAACTTCAATTTGGATGTTAATAAGATTAAAACTTGATTAAAAAGTGAATTATTTTGCAGGTAGACGTTGATTGAATAAACTTTTTATAAAATTAATAACATAAAAAATTTGTTATAATAAATTTTATAGAAAGAGAAAAAAAACCTGCAACATTTAAGAAGTGTTTTTTATATCAATAAATACTTATTGCTTAAAAAAAAATAAGCTGTTAAGGTTGACCCCATATATATTATGCTTATATGATGCATATTTTGATTCTTAGAATCAGAAGTCCGTTCTGATCAACGACAGTTAAGTCCTTAATTCTTTTCTCCATATATTTGGATAATGCTATCATGCCGATTGCCCTATGAAGCGTATCGCATAACCATTCATCACAGTCGCTTCCCCTCGACTGTACCAATTTGGGCTTTAATGCTGTGGCATAAATCATTTTTCCGCAATTCGTTTCAATTGCATAAAAGTATTTCATGCACTGCCTTCTTTTGGCCAACTCTTTCTGAGTGTGTGTGTGCTTGCGTATATATTTCGTTTTTGCAAATGGGGGCTGGGTTCCTGGGGGCGTGGCCAATGAGGCGGGGAACGGATGTGCCATCGCAGCCGCCGTTAACATGCAAGCAAATGCATTTGCCATCTACCATCAGGCATTTGCAACCAGCAACCCAGCACCCTAGCATCCCAAAACCCAAACCGAAACCTATACTGAAGCCCAAACCCAGAACGAATTCCCAATACCGAATGGCCACGGTCCTCGCAACTTGGCCCCCGGCCAGTTGAAAAGTAATGAAAAAATGCGTTTGCCAAAAAACCAAACAGCCCTGCGAACGGCAAACTTTGTGGCCAACTGGAGGAGCTGATTTCTGCCCACTTATGCAGGCATCGAGCCGAGCGAGTGCGAGTGTGCAAGTGTGTGCGAGTGTGCGGCAAATAAAAACCGAAACCAGTTTCCAAGGCGGCCACCGCAAAAGCGGAAACGGAAATCGGAAGCTGTGCAACTGTGCAGCGGCAAAAGCACAAGCATAAGCACAAGCAGTAGCAGCAGAGGAAGAGGAAGAAGGAACAAGATGAAGAGGCATTGGAAGCGGCAATGGAAGCGGCAGCGGCAGCGGGCAAGGCTAAAATAGGCGGCAACACAAGGACAACAGCAGGCGGGCCTGCGACGGCGATAAAAGTGTTGCAATTTATGGTCAGGCTAGTTGGCGCCCAAAACTCGCTCCTCGCTTCGATTTAGTACAGTACAGCATCATTTAGGAATGGTGAATTTTGGGAGAAGAGCTAGCTAAATTAATAAAATCTAGGAGAAATCAACATTCACCAGATACCCAAAACATTAGTGCCCATAAAAGTTGTATTATGGTTTGTTTTTTGTAAAAAACTAAATCGATTTGAAAACAATCTCTAATAATATTTAAAAATAGTTAATTTGTTCTAAAAAATCTAGATCGGTAATATAGAAATTAAAAAAAAAGCATTTTATTATACAAACAAGAAATAATATAATAATTATTTATCTGTTCTGCTTCGGCAATTTAAGAGAACCAATTTAAATTATAAAAGTTTTTTCTGTTCATAATAAGGCCAACTTGGCATCTCTAACTTTACCCTTTGGCCCTGTAAAAATTGGGAGCCCAAGCCGCGACCAGCTTAAGTTTCTGGCTAATTGATTTTGCGATTTTATCTTTTAATGACTTTTTGGGAAAGTGCAGGACCAAACGTAAAGTTGCTGCCCTCTGTATATATTTGATTTTAATTGCATTAAATGGACTGCTTGCCTTTGCTTTCCCAGAAAGCAGTTTATTTAACGGCGTTGGCTTCGGCCTAAAACTATGCTACAGAACTCTTGCTTGAACTCGCTAAGGCGTTTAAAAACGCGCACAAAACGGTGGAAATCGAATTTGTTTCACTTGTCAACGTTAAGTGATAAAAAAAAAACGCAGAACGTTTGGCAGTCCTATTTTTCCCATTGAAAAGCCATCAGAATGCAGCTGAGCTCTGCAGTGTCATTTAAACACTTCAGTTTAATCCGCTTAGAAGCAAGTGTCTAGGAATCGATGAGAATGTCTAAAAACGACTTCTGAAAAAATTTCTTTTACGAGAGTTTTGTGAAAAAACAACAGTTTAAATTTGACTTCAATGTTTTTCATTTTATTTATTAATTTAATTCATGTTCTTAAGTATTCGAATTAGTAAAAACCACATCATAAAGTCAAGCATCTTTATCAAAGAAAGTTTATTAATTTAACATTTATGATTTATTTAATAAGATAAATTTTGACCCTTAAATCCCAGAATAATAAAAAGCCACACAAGGTTGATTATTACTGGTTGTTTATTTTGGTTTGAATGTTTTTGGTTTTGTCTTAACATTGGCATTTCAGTTGTTTACATTTTTGTAAAGTTTTTTTCTTTCAATCGTATCGACGATTTAAATTTTTACTCCGCTTAAACATTAAGTTGATATTCGCTTGGGTGGAAGCTAAATGCAAATGAAACATTAATATTTTATCCAATATTTTATGCATCATTAAATAATCCATTAATTAACAATTAGTCGCGTGTCGTGTGTGTATGTGTGTGTGTGTGAGCGAGTGAGTGTGAGTGTGAGTGCGAGTTCATTTACGTGTATCCGTTCACATCATTAAAGCAAATATTTACAGTTACATTGGGCTTAAGTGTGCATGTGTGAGCTTAACGGGAATCGCATGGACAACGCATCTGTGTGTGTGTAATTTAAATTGCATTCGATATAGATAAATAATGCAGTTTACGGCCGAGGACTCCCCAATTTCCATCGCTGTTCGATAAGCCGCACACATCCCCGCATCCAAGTCCATGCATTCCGGCCAAATCCGACTTGCCCCCGATTTAGCTACCTGTAATTAGCAGGGTAAGCACCGTGGCCACGCAAATGGCCACGCCCCCGCCCCCTCCAATTGCTGTTGGCCGAAGATGTGGCGAAGTAGGTCTCCAGAAAGCCACGGAGTCCGGTTCCCGACGACAACGTCACTGCAATAGGCAATCAGATGCATTTTTACATTGCGAAAATTAGTTACGGATAGGAAAAAAAAAAAAGAAAATGTGGTGATTCTTTAAATTATTTAAATATAGAATATTTGCAAATTTACATTTTATCAAGAGCTATTTTTTATTTATTTGACTTATTTATTGAAATAAAAAAATTGGAATAAAAATTATAATTAGGTTTTAATTTAGGTTTGATTGTATTAAATAAAGAAAAAAAACAGGAAATCAAATCAACTTCATAAAAAACACTGCAGTTGGACTTTATTGAATGATTTCATTTATTTACCAGTAATGTATAAAAAAACAATAATTGAACATTTATAAAAAGTGTGCTAATTTTTTTTTGTGGTTTTAATCAAAAAAATAATAATAAATCAATAAAAATAAATAAATCAGACAATGGAATTCCACAATTTATCTTCAAGTGCTAGATGGCTGTTGGCAGTTATGATTTTGTGGCTTACCTCTGGCCGGCACCGGATCCTTTTGCGGTGTGCCCAGCTCGATTTCCTTGTACTCCTGATAGAGATCGCCAATTTGCGCCGTACATCGCAGGATGAGTCCCCCACCTCCGCCTCCACCTCCTCCACTTCCAGTTCCACCGAGGTGCAGTGCGTTTGTGAGGCCATTGCCGTTGCCATTTCCATTGCCATTACCATTTCCATTTCCATGGCCACTGAGGCCGGCCACAAAGTGAATCGCCTGCAGCTGCAGCTTTAGGCTGAGCCGGGATGCAATCAGGTTCTCCACCGTCCGAATGTACTGCGTTTCCTCTGAGCTGACCTGTCGCAAAGATATCGACAAATGTTAACAAATGCTGTATAATTAATACAAAGGGATATAAAAAAGCTTTCTAGTTCATAAGCCAAACAAAATGATAGCTTTGATGGCTTTCAAACTCAAATGTGTTGTATTCATGTTCAAGTTAATATGTTATATATAAACTCGTTCCATATTAACATGTTTTATTAGTATAATTATTTAAAGACAAATTTAATCTACATAACTAAGCTTTTACCCTGATATCAAATATTCCACACAATTCAATCAATCGCTTTACTTTAACCACAATATTGTTTTTGGGATTTCGTCATTTTGAATACTAATCAAGGGCCGCTAGATGCAGGAAAATATACTTTAAATTATTCATGGCATGCTTCCAGCTGCAATTGCAGTTGCAACTGATTTTCCCTTCCGCTTCCCACATGCTCATTCCTTTGCCCTTTGACCCATCCGAATTCACTCCCTTTAACACAAGTCAGAAAATAATGTTCCAGGCAGAAAGAAGAAATAACGCCAGAAAAGGGGGAAAAACAAAAAAAAGAAGTTGAGTTTCGCATCCAGTTTTGTGCAACTGCATATGAATGGCAATTTGTCGTCTGTCTGTTTCTGCAACTCGCCCCCTTTTCTGTCTGTGTATATATGTGTGTGTGCCAGTGACTGTGTGTGTGGGGGTTATTACAAGCATGTTGCACTTGCGGCCATGGCTGCTTGCCAGTGACCAAACCTTTGACCAGATCACTGAGAAAAAATAAAGTGGATAAGGTACAAATAAACATTAGGTGAAGTATATCTTTATAAATTTAGTACCTTTGTTAAATTCACATTGGATAGAAAATTATGAATGATTGTTTCAGTATTGTATTAACAACTCTTTACAGAATTAAATAGATAATTTATCGTGACTCTCATCTATTTTTTCTATTTAATGCATATTATTACATATATTATTATTCATTTGCATGCCGAAATCAAACTCTCTCGATTCTTTTTGTAATAAATATGTTAATGCAGTATATTTTTTTTAGCAGGTGAGTATTGAGTTAACTTTTCGCTCAGTGCACCAGGGAAGTGTGCTGAGTTGTTGGCCTGGCCATGGAAAATGCAGTGGAAGCTGCGAGGCAAGGAAACGGACACTGAAAGCGAGCGAAACGAACGAACGAACGGACATGGGCATGTCATATCTTGTTGTTGTTTGTGGCGAGTTGTTGGCCATGTTGTTGCTGTGTTTGTTGTCGTTACGATTGTTGTTGTTGCCAGTGGCATTGCCATTTAAAAACGAGTTTTCAATGTTACACACAACTATGGCAACAACAGGAACATCAAGAGACACTTATTCACTCATCCGCCTGGATGCCTCCTTCCTTTTTTTTTTTTGCGGCCCCTTGCCAAGTGTCCGGCATTTTGTTCGAGTGTACGAGTATGTGGCCATCCGAAGGCTGAAGGCTGTTTGCCGTCGAAAACTGTTTATTTGATGCCTTTTGAGGGGCGCTGAAAATTTCATTTCCGCCATGACACCAACAGAACAGCATTGCCTTAGCTTGACTTGCTGATGTGTATATTTTATGCTCACATTCACATTCGCATTTAGTATAGTATATTTTGTATGCATATGCGACACTCCCGTGCGAGCTTTCCGCTTCATTTGCCTGAGTTCTCCGCTTGCTTCGCACACAATTTCCTTTTTGGCGCGAAAAGAAAACTCTAAACTGCCGTGCAATGCTTTTAGTCGCAAATGGCGCATCGTCCATTGTTGCAAAATACAACAAAAAAAGAAAACTGAAAAGATGGCGGGAAATGCAGGCGCCATTTTGAAAACGCTCGTGCTGCCATTTCCGCTCTACTGCATGTCCTGTTGCTGATTTGTACCCCATCCCCTCTTATCCTTCCCCATCCTTCCCGATCCCCCGCAGAGTTCACTTGACAACCTGAGCTTAGCCGTGGAAAAGATGCGCCGGAAAACTCGCTGGCAATTTAAATACAATAAATATGCATTTCATTTCCACTTACAAACTCATTTGAGCGCCATTTACTTATGCATGTATTTTGGCCCTCTTCAAGGAAAAAAGGTGTAAGATATTACGGGTTTTGCCAGAATTTGGGTCAGCCAAGGGGATGCACTTAGAGAAAATCCTTAAGTACAAGAATGTCAATACTGATTTAAAAATATATATTCCAAAACTCTTTGCTTTGGTTATAAATTAAAAAGCAATGAGTTTTAGTTGGTCAAATACCGAGTAGTTTTTTTTATTATATTTAAATTTAATAGTATGGAAAATCTGTAAATCAGTGTTGATGAGGAAAAACCATTTTCGTTTGGTTTTCCCTCCGTGCAAGGGCACTCAAGGATCTCTTCACCTTCATTTTCCCACCACTCGCCCACAACATTAAAAGTAAAAGCGCTTTATTGCTGTGTGCTCGCTCGCTTTTTGTTGTTGGTCGCCTTTTAACCCTTTTTGCGAACAGCATCTCACCCACACACTTACACGCATACACACACACACACAAACACACACACTCCCCCCATTTTGTTTCGGGCTTTGTGCGTTTTTTTGGCTTATCCTTTTTATTTTATTTGAATTTTATTTTTATGCTGGCAGAGGAAAAGCCCAGACGCAGCGACATAAAAAGTCATTTTCAGTTTGGCCTGCCTTATTCGTTTTCTCCTTCCTTTGCTCGTTGCGTCCCTTTTTTTCTGCCCTTCCTGTCTCTTTCTGCGGCTATGCGCTATCTCGTTCTGCCGATTTAATGCCGCGTAATTTACGAGACACTCTTAAGAAGCCAAGCGCTTTAATTAAGCATGTGGCTGAGGCAGCGACCCGAAAGTGAAAATACCCTCATATTTCTTGTGATTTACCTTTATGGCATCGGGAACCGAGAACCGAGAACTGGGAACCCTCAACCTTTAACCCCTGGGCAATTAAATGAGCATTTGGCATTTGCTGGCCTAAACATTTTCGTCCCAGCAAATTGTTTTCAAACAAGAAAGTTTGTTTTGCGTTTGAGTTTGTGTTTTGTGCTGCTATCTGGGCAACTCTATTTTGATGGCCAAGCAATTAATATCGTTTTGATAATTTCTGCCTAGATGGGATTATGCAAATTGCTTGGAAAACAAATGCAGCCACAACAATCTATTCTCTATATTAATAATACAACATTTGAATTTATATGCACCACAAATAAGTGCGTAGTTTCGTATTTAACGAATATTTCTACTTTAATGAACTGCCTTTAATTTTCATTTTGTGCGGACTTGGTTTTATCGATTTAACCGAGACAGGGACATCCATTAATCATGGCTAAGCCGAGCTTTAATTATGTCCTTAGTTTTCTGTGCTCAATAAATAATTTATCAAAAATCGATGGCCGCACAAATCCGCACGTCTAATGGTCAGACTTTGGCCCTAATCTCAACTAATTCCCCCGAATCACCCACATAAAAGGAACACGGGTGAAAGGAACAAAAAAATAACACATTTAGAGCTACTTTTCCATTAATATGACAGAAACTTTTTAACAAATTATGTGAGTCGTTAAAGTTTTTTTGTCCCTCTATCGCAGTTGGTCCATCCACTCATGGGGAAACATACTATGGTATATATCTCTGGTTGTGGGGAATCGGACGAGGCTTTAATCTTGAACTCAACACGTGCTGGGTCAATGCTTTCAGCTCAGAATTATTTATAGCATTGTTTTGTGTGACAGAGTATTATCCCTGGCCTTCCATATAATTTAAAGAGCGGGAACACAGCTCCAGCGGGCAGATCATAATTCAATATCAAAAAGGCATCTAATGCTCAGGCATATGAAACTAAATTGCATGGCCATTGCCACCGGAATGGATGCTATACTTTTGCTATCCATTCGTTGTTTGTCCTCGGAAAAAACAAACAAGGCGTACAGAAAAAGAAAATGTATGCAACTTTGGTTCAAACAATTAAAGCATTTGGATTAAAAAGTAGTTGCCAGCGGCTACACGGAAATGTATTACATATTGAAATAGAAACTATATATATTATATATATATAATAAGATAAGATAATATCAGAATTTAAAAGAATACAATTTCTAGATATTCTAATATAATATTATTTTTAACAACATCAGAAATAAACTCAGAAGTGTTTCTTGAACAAGACTTTCCTTGAAAAAGAGCAACAAACATTCTTTGGAAACCCAAAAATTAATCACCTTTTCTAGCGATATTTTTCCCATGTGTAGATATAAAATTTTATGTGACAGACGGGTAGATGGGTAGACGGGGCTCTACTATTCGCAATCCTCAAACACAGCGGCGTACTTTTGTCTCGGCTTTTGTCATTAGTTGGCTGCGAAGAAGTCTAGATAAAATGTTAAACGGCCTGCATGGCAGCATGTGTGTGCGAGAGCCCCGAAAAGTAGACTACACGACAGATATAAAACGACAGGATAAGACACATACTCATACACACACCCACACACAAATACACCGACTGAAAATAGAAAAGGAAGAAACAAAGCAGACGGACAGGGGAGGACACGTTATGTCTGATGATGTGGGTAGACATAATATAAAAATTTATGAAGCGTTTAATAAGTTTTCTTCTTGGCTCTTTTTTGTATTTTTTTTTGTTTTGTTCTGTTTTTCCTTTGCCCGCACCCTGGGAAATCGTAGAAAAGTTGAATTCGTTCAGCGGGCGTGTCAACTGAAAATTTGTTCATCTCGTAAATTCATTTAAAAAGCGTTGTCCGCTGTCCATTGTCCTTTGTCCCTTGGCCATTTTGTCCACTGGCCCGTCCGGCAATTTCGTTTTTGCCACAAGTTGAACGTAATTTATTTTATGTCTCGGCTATGATTAATAACATTTTGGGCCGAAAGGGAAACGGAAAAGGATTTCGGGGTTAGGTCTAGGAATTGGGATCTGGCATTGCTTTAAAGCGATTGCCGGAAGCGTTTCTTTGTTGATTTATGCAACTGATTAGCGCAACTCGCAGAATTGATGCACAAATGGAAGCGCCTTCGAATGACTAATGATGTTATGGCCTATCGTGGACACATGTAAATAAACAGTGGTGGTCAAAAATATAGAATGCTTCTGGATTACTAAAAAAAATTTTGTTCTGAATAGTATGAAATTAATTCAAGAATGCCCTAAAAGCAATTTTCTTTATGCTATTTTCCTTCATAAAAAGTACAAGTATTTTAATCTTTTTCTTGTTGAAATCCATGTTTGATGCTACTATATTGTCCCAAGCTGTTTGCATATATGACTTGTTTGCTGATCCCCTCCTTTACATCGGTATGATAAATGACAAAAAGGGGAAATCGCAGAATCAAATCAGAGTCCTGGCACACAACCCTTTTTTGCTTTATTGACTTCATTTTGCCCACAAGGGGGTTTTCACCCTGCGGTCTCTTGTTTGGGTTTCGACTTGAGATTTTTAATTAAGTAGGTAAGATGAGACCCCTTCATTCGCCTGCTTTGATTAAATTACACCATATTCATAAATAAAGAACAAATTTTGTGAGGCACGTCGCCGTGGATTACCCAAAAGCCACACATGTTCCCAAGGAGGAGCGGTGGGTGTCATTATAAAGGATTTACGATGCCGTTAGGCAAGTCAGGCTGTTTAATTAGGCAAGTTCTCCACGCACTTGGCCTAAACACATTGGTACAGCCAGACATTAATTAACAATCAATGCGGGGCCATAACGTAGGGCATTTTAATTGCAGATTGTAAAGCGTTTTGCCCAATGGACGTTTGGGACTTACACATATCGAATAGAGCATACCTTGAATCTTGCTCTTATATTATAAATTAGGAAGTGGCATACCTACCAAATTGTAATTTAATTCTCTAACGAACTGCATCATTAATTATTTTTTCAATTTTTATTGAAATTTACAAAAAAAAGGGTTTGCTATAAATTGACCAAAATTCACTAAATCTAACCCCACAACTTTTCTAATTGTAATCAGATTTTAAAGTGGCATACCTCTTAATGTTTCTATTTTAATCCTCTAACCAATTGCATCATTATTTAATTATTTATTTTTTGGATGATTGTATATATGCATTGGTACGCCAAAGCTAGCATCCTTTCATGTTTGATTTTGTTTAAATTACAATTGCTGTAATGACGTTTTACTTACAGGAATATTGTTAATGGTAAAACGAAGGTCGGCTCGAGGTCGAGATGGTAAGGTGCTGCAGTTGGCCCGTAAAACATCGCCGGGTTCATATCTTGTGTTTTCTGTGAAAAGCTGAGGACGCTTCTCTGGAAATTCTAAAAAAGAAAATTAGAGATAAAATTAATTGACACGAATAATATTATATTTATTCTGTGTTGATTTATGACAGAAATTCACAAAACTGTCAAACTAAATATAAAAAAAACATACCGAAATTAATAACTAAAGTCCGCTTACAATCATCATTAATAGATTTTATATTTCGTGCTTCATTTTTTTTTTTTTTTATCATTTTTCATATTATTTAGTTAAAGTCTTTTTAACCAAGGCTTTTAAATAATATGATTTTCATGAAAAATATCTAATTACTGTTAAAAAAATATTTTTTTGTTTGTTAAAATCCTCGTGCACTGAAACCGCAATCTCCCCCAAGTGCACAAGTGTTTACTCAGGACTTTGGTAGGTCCTTAATTGCGGCAAGGGCACATCCCCGCTTATTGTTCGCTGGCATCGCAGCCACGCCCTCGCCTGCGACTAATGAGACAGGATCTGTTTGTCAGTGTCAGAGGACCCTGAGTCGCCGTCAAATGGCGAGGGATACTCACCCACAACTTGCATCTGTGCGTAGGCGGTGGCCGTGGAGTAGAGCGGTGCATCCGCCGTCACCTCGCAGCTGAATTGTCCGGAGAGCCCGAAGCTAACGTTCCGAATGAGGACCACGGTGGCATTCGAGCCGTTCTCCTGTGCGGGTAAAATGCCAAAAATACCGAACCCATTCCGTAAAACAATAAGCGAGACTTCGCAGAGGAGCAGCAAACTTACGTCCACTCGGATTCCCGGGAACTGAAAGACCTTGGTGTGCGGATACTCGCCCGGTGTGTAGCGATAGAACTCCATCTGGCCGCGGTAGAACTTGATGGAGTACAAAGGCGCCTCCTCCAATTGGTAGTTGCACCGCAGGGCCACCGATTGCCCCCTCCGCACCGCCGGTGGTTCCACCAGCAGATTCACGTCACGCAGCGCCGCCTGCCCCAAATCTGAAAAGGAGGTGAGCTTTATTCGAATGGTGTCGGTTTAATAAAGGTTGCGGTGCATTTGCACAGGGAAAAATCCATACTTTAAATATCGGTTTAATTAGTCAGAAGTTAGAAACAAATAATAAAATATTTATATGGACACTTTTAAGTAATTAAAAATATTATTTCTATCCTTTACAGTGCAGCAATTTAGGGAACAAATTTTATTCGAAATTAAATTTAAAAATATTAAGTGAACATATTTTATAATATTCCATTTTAGCCTTTAAATTTCAAGTTTAAAGTTCTCCAGGTGCATTAACCACTATTCCTTTGTAATATTCAATTTTAAGGAGAAATTTATCTTTTGTAATATTCAATTTTAAGGAGAAATTTCTCGTCACCCTTTGTTGTTCGAAAAGCCTTCGAAGCTGGCTCAAAAACACAGGCATTTGCATAGCCGTTCAGGAGCGTAAAACCATATTGAATCTGGCGACAGTGGCTGCGACAGCCTCATCACCCACATCCCCATCATCATCGTGGTCCTTTTCTTGGCTCTTGCACATAAACCCCATGGGATTAGGAAGTGCAGCCGCTGAAAGTGCAGCACACTCTTGGCGCTTAAAGCCTTAAAAATTGGCAGCCAGACCAAACAAAGAACCCATCAGTAGTGCATCTCCATTAGAGATGGCCAGTTTCGATAGAGTTTATGGTTAAATATTGGCACTACGTACAAATTTTTATTACAAAATAACTTAAATGTTTTGGGAACACTACAATATTGAGGAAAGTTCTGTTAAAAAAAACATCCTTCCCTTATTTACCAATTCTAAAATGATTAATTGTTAAAATATATGTTTTGAAATATTGTTTTTTAGTTATACTATATATTTCGGATAGTATACATGGACGGCTCTGCACCATTTTACTTGACTTTAAAATATCTGCCTTTGGTTGCACCACTGATCTTCATCGCTTTCGCCGCCCTTTTGGTCGTTTTCCACTCCCTTTTTCCCGTTTTCCCATTTTCCATCTCAATCCCATCATCGTCATCGTTGTCGATGATGGCAGCAGGCAGTCGGCAAGGCAAAGTTGACTGACTACATCAAAAAGCAATTTTCCATTTGTTTTACAATATGCCCGACCCCGCCGCTTATCCTGGGCACACACATTCTCACACACACATGCACACTGGCACAGACACATCCTTATGACTTCGACGTGTGTGTTTGCGTTGAGAGTGTGTTTGGCTTTCCATAAACTCGCAAATCGTTTAAGCCGCCTTACGAGAAGTTGTAAACCTCTTTGCTGCCATTTTTTGCTCGAGCTTCTGGTTCTTCAGCTCTCGCAGTGCTATTTTACCGCCTATGCTTTGTTTCAAATAGGAATCGTGATAGCAACGCAGCATAATCAATGACGGTACACTGAGAAAAGTCTTAAACTAAGAAACACGAAACACGAATTCTTACAAAATAAGTGTTAGAAAGTGGTTTTAAACAACTATTACCTTCAATTTGTTATGCGAATGAATTTGTTCCTGAACACACACAATACCATTTAATACCATTTAAAGAAGTTCTCATCCCAATTACCCAGAATATGTTTCTGAGCTACTTGATTTTTCGAGGGAAAACACCTAAATCCTGATATTCTTCTCGATTTAGTTGTTATTTTTTCCCACTGCCCCCGAACGCCCGAAACGCCGACTTTTCCCGCCTTTCTAGGCGTGGCTCAATATCCGTTAGAAGCAGGCTTGTTGCTTTTTACTACGGTGCCCTGCTGTTTCATCTTCATTTTCATCGACAGCTTCCTGTGTTCCTGTGTTGTCTTCGTTTCGTTTTATGGCTACTATTTTTTTCGCACTCCAGCCTCTGCAGTTTGAGCCTGCGGCCATTTGCCTTTGGAAATTAGGCCGGGCTTAGCTTTACGTCAGACCTCCTGCAGTTGAAGTGTCTATTGCAGATCTCCACATGGTGGAGGTGGCATATGGCAAATGCCGATGGAAAACAAAAGGGAAGGGGAGGCATGGGTAGGAATGATGAATTTTTGTCAGCAGTGATTTTGTCTGGCAAGTGGAAGAACTTTATGGCCCTTCGATGGATTGCCAGGGATCTGTTTCGACTTTAGACCAGCCATCCGGCAAAAGCTTAGCCCGATTTAAAGCCATATTTCCCCATAATGACCTTAAATTTTTCGATTGCCCTCAACGGGTTTATCATCCTCTTCTTCGCCCCCCTTCCTTCCTCATCAACTTTTATGCAACTTTTGCATGACAAAAGAGGCAAAAAACGTGGGGAAAAACGAGAGGAAAATTGTGAAATATGTGCAGCTGTGATCATAAAACGTTTATTGACTGCAAAATTCAATATATCATGCATTCACCATTATGACAATATGCAGTTGCACAAACACTCATTTATTTGTGAGTGTGCATGTGGCGCGCCAGGGGTGTCCTTATTAAAAGGGAAATGCAAGAGGAAAGGTTGCGAAACGTCGTGGGGAAACATGGAGTTAACCGAGGAAATTCGTTAAAAATTTTACAAGTTTCACAGGCAGCAATTCGAATTGTTTGTTTTCGTTCTGTTTTTTAAAACTTTAATAAGTAGTCTGTAGTCTATTATTATTTCTTCCAAAATGGTACTCAATTGTATTTGTTTTCTTTTTTTAACAAACATCATTCTAAAGAATTTAGAACATTTACCCAAAATTTTTTGTTTGTTTATGAACTACCTACAAAAGTTTACACTAAAACTAAGACCCTGCAATCTAGACGTTCCACATACCAAAATGAATGTGAGCTTTTGTCATAGCGACTCCAGTCTACCCCTTTGAAATTTTTATGACTACGCTCGTGGCATGTGTAGAAAAACCCGCACACTCATAAACTTTCTGCCACTGAGCTGAGCTCGCCCAGATTTAGTTACAAATGAGCGCGGTGAATGCGAGGGTAAGGGTTTTAGAAAGGGTCCTTTGGCCCCGATTCGGGAAAGGGGTAATACGCCGAAGAGAGGAAAGAACCAGCTGTTGGTAAACTAAAGCCAGACGAACTTTTCGCAGACATGCGAATTGTCCGGGGGCAATGGAAGTGAATGAAAATCGGTGGAAAATGTGGAAGTGCAAGCCATGTGATGAACTCACTTCTGATAATTTATGGGTAATATTTTTAGTGTCGTAAAGAGCGGCAGAAGTTAAGAAACAAAAAAACGATAAGACGCCGCGATACTAGCAAAACTAATTTAACTTATTGTCTGGAGCTCAATCTTCTTTTCCCTCACTTTTCACGAGAAAGCAACTTAAAGCTTTATTTATGCAATTCTTTTAGGAGTTAGGAAACTTTTTCATTTTTTTAGAACGTATTTTTCCAGTTTAATCTTTAATGTTAGTTTTAAAGTTGTGTTTTCCCAGCTCGCTGTCAATTGCTTTGCCCACCCATAAAAAAAACAAGCCCCCCAAAAACATGGCTCTCCTCCTTTTCACAAGCGAAAATTGGTTTTTCGGATGATACGGCCAACATCCAATAAATGTTTAAAAGTTAAACAATTTACGAGGCCAAACACAATAACAAAATTTTACGCATGAATTCTTCATGTAATTACGCGTGGCCAAAAATGAACAAAATTAACAAAAATATAAATTGCGTGGTTGCACACTCACAAACAGGATCAAACAGATACAGACGCCTTTGGGCAAATACATATATATATATATATATATATATATATGTATTCATGTATATGTATATACTCTGCGGCATTTCGTGATAATTAACGCAATATTTCAACTACACAAAATACTAAAAAGGACCAGCGAAATATCGTATAACTTTCGCAACGAGCAAAAAAAATGCTCGCAATTATTTAGCAAAATGCATAAGCAACTACAACGGAATATATTAGACAAGGAAAGAGCATGGAAATATTTGCATAAATTTTACACAGCGAAATTTGAGTTGAAATTACATTTGAAGTGGGTGGACAAATGTTTTAGGGGATTGTGAGTGGTCTACGGTCAACGTTTTTGTAGACAAATTGGCGCTGTTACAGTTTTGAAAAGTTTCTGACATATTTCGCTCGGCCAAAGTCCCGCATTGGAGCAAAAGAGAGGGGGCTACAACACGAGAAAGAGACGGAAACAGGATGGTCGAGCAGAGATAGACAAAGCCGGCATGATATAATTATGTGTTGAATTATGAATTGAAATGCTGAAAAGTTTTTATAGTTTTTATGCGTTGTGAAAACTTGCCATTCAACTAAAATTTCTGGCCAACATTTATTGCTAATTCCTACAGTCAGCAGTGTGGTTGAATGTTTTTAGACGACTTTAATGCACTCAAACTCGTTATGATAAATTATATACGAGATAGAGTCAACTGTTAATAATAATAAATATGTATGTTCAACGTCTTTATGGAAAAAGGAGGGCTGAAATGCTTAGATTGTGATTAATTATGAATTTCATTGCCAACAGTGTGGTCTAGAACTCAATTTAAGTGAAACTGACATTAAAATATTTCGAAACACGCTTGATTGCTTAATTGATGCTTGATTGCTTAAATCAAAGACTTAATTAAATAAACAATATTAATATAGGAAACACGAAAAATCTCCTTGGTCAACAAGAAATGTAATTAAAATTTGTTTCTGCCAGAAGTATTTTTTTGGGTTTTTAATCATTTTTATAAAGTAAATACTATTTGATTTACAGTTTGTATATTCTTAGTGTTCTTGTTTGTGTCGTTTTTAATGAAAAAATTTTCTGAATTTGGGAGACAGTCATCAATGAAAAAGACTCTTGGGCCATCAGCTTCAACTTCAGATCCCCTTTAACTATGTATATATATCTAGGGCTTTCATCTCCGACTTTTGAGCTTCACATTTGCATGCGGCCAATAAACATAAAAATGAATGTCAGTTATGTGGGTGGCCATTGTTGTTGGGGCCCGTAGGATGCCTCTCCAAAAGCCCCATATCATATCAATTCAATTATATTTTATATCACACAGTTGGCGCAGAAAGCCGGAGAAAAAGGCTTCATGCTGCTACCATTATTGCTGACAATAGTTGGGTTCTCAGCTCCTTGTGGTTTATTATTTTGTTCACACATGTGCAGTTTAATTTAATACCGGCACCTTGAGCTTCCAGTATTCAATCGATAATCGTTCTAACCGATTGGAATGATTCGCTTTGTTTGGACCTCGAGGCGTTGATTACTTCGGCTGTTTTGTGTAAAATTGATTTTGCGGCTAATTGTTAGGCACACACACATGCAGCTTCCTTTCGGGCTAATCCCTTTAACTTATCCCGAAACATCAGGCACACACGGCCAGGTAAACAAAGACAACGCTTTCGCAGGTGAGGTGCGTGTTTGGGTTCTGATAACAAATTGCAGCAAATAGTGGTGGAAAATCGGTTGGCTGAAAGTGCGGTTGATGAGCCAGAAATAAACCATCACAGGAACCTTTTGTAATTAAATGTTGAAAGCAATTTCACGCCCAAAACGAATTCACGCAAGCCAAAGGGGTGTGGACCATGTCCCATCTCTTCCCGTTTTTACCCCACGTGCCAGCCCCTTTTTGGTTTTTTGGTTTAAATAAATTTCCACAAAATGTTCGTAATTAATGCGCCAACCTGGGCGAGTGGCTCTGTAAATCACTGGCTATCAATTTGTCTGATAAGCACTCAGCAAAAATAGGAAAAATATAATAAATTTTTTAAAATCTGTTTTACTCGTTTTACTTTATACAAAAAATTTATTTTTTTAGCTTTAAAAGTATTTAACTGGAAATCAAAGAGCAGGCGATAGAAAAAATAAATTTGGAATCACAAAAAATGGTAAATAAGTTTTTATATACATAGGTATAATACAATATAATTCATTTCTTTCCTTCTTTCTTTTTCTTTTCATACCAAAAAACTCTTGTTATGTTTCTAATTTAGATATTTTTTTTAAATTATAATTTATAAGCTTGTTTATTAATTTTTTTAGTGCTTGCATTTTGTGGCCAACGCTATGCTGCACGCACAATCGGTCGCCTTTCAGCCTCCTTATCGACTGGCACTGGACCATTGATTGCAGTTCATTAAGCACGCGCAGGCTCACGCACTTTCCCTTTGCTTTCACTCGCCACCTTCAACCACCTTCGAGCACCTTCAACCACCTTGAACCACCCACTGGACGACCCACTGCCCCACCCCTTTTCGCCGCCACCTGATGACTTGGCTCATTAGCTGGGCGTCCCGTTCGCACCTCCTGGCACTTGACCATGGCCAGTTTTCTGGGGTGTCGGCTGCCTTGAACCCTCACCTCTTCGCTGTGCATATATTTTCATAAAATCCCCATCCACCAGCCACTCACCTTCAGCAGCCACTTGCCACTCGCCACTCATTCAAGCCCGATTCAGCATCTCGAGCCATTATTGTTGATTGCTTATTCATGCATTCAGTCATTTATTCATATGCCCGAATCTTGGGCGATGAGCACTTTGCTTGTTTGCCTTGTTATCAAAATGAAAGTTTTCCGCTTGCCATCCGCAGAGCTTCTACAATTTCCATTTCCTTGTCCCCCGAAACTAACCAAAATTAATTGCGATGCCCGGGCGCTCTGCTGTTTATATTTTAAATTAATTATAAATATTTATTTATCCTGATTAGTTAAGTGGGCGGTCGGTCGGATGGTCGGTCGCTCGGTCGATCTGCCTCCCAGGCGGGGCTTAACCAAATTGATTTCGGTTTATTTTAGCATTGGCCAGCGCTTTTGCGGGGCCATCGATTACAAAGCGATGGCTTTAAAGCCATCCGACCAAGCAATCAGCCAGCGGCAATGGAAACTCAATTGCACGCTGGCTGTCCATTACTCTTGGCTCACACTGAGCGGGAAACTCGGTAATTGTAACTAAATCCGAAATTATGGTTTGCGAATCTCCAGTTTCTATAGCGAAGGCTATTAACATCCAACAGTGTTGAAACTTAAGACATAAATTTGCTTGGAGTTACAAGATTTAATAATTTCAAATATTAAGCGATGTATTTTAAAGATTAGAACCTTTAAATTGAAACTTGAGTATTTGGCTTTTTGAATTCCTAAGCAAGTGACCTGTGTAATACATCCTTTTCTAATTAAACCCCACCCTAATTCAAATTAGCATAATTTTCGCTCACTGCATTCGCATCAGACGCTGCTGGCTTGCTAACCGGATTCATTTTTCCCATCCCGCTGTCTTGCTCCTTTTGTGGTTTTCTATAATTGATGGCAGCATCAATTCCAAACGAAATAATCAAGCCACACAGGACGGAGGGAAATGCTGGCCACGAAAAAAACAGCAGCAGCACCAGCAGCAGTAGCAGCAACAGAGCCACAAGTACGGACTGGGTGTACAGTGCAGCACATACGTGTATGGCCGGCTCACGTAGCCCGATTTGCCATGTTTCTTCGCTGCATACTTTCCTGGGCCAAAGTTAATTTCAGGTTTAAGTGGCAACAACTGCAGCTGCTCTTCTGCTTCTACTGCTGCTTCTATCGTTGCTGCAGCCGAATTATTGAAGGCAGCAAAAAGCGAATGGGACGGGGGCGAAAACGTTTAAATGAAAAACACGAGTCAATTTATATTGCGCTGACGTACCGCCCAACTTCACCCCATAACCCCCTCCGTTTGCCATTTAATCTTCTTCTATTTCTTGGCGCTATTTTCAAATGTTTTTCTTTGCTGTTTAGCCATTTTTTGCTGCTGTGGCTGTTGTAACGAAAAAAAAAAAAAAAAACTAAAAACCAACCGTTGTGTGTTGGTTTCATTCCCTTTTTTTTGGCTGCCCATGTGTGTTTGTCTCTGGTCTTTTTTGTTGGCTAAAGCTGTACAAAAATCTGCACAAAAATGCACGGAAATTCATCTTGATTTGTGTTGAGCGTTTTTATTTATTTTTTTGCTGGCTATCCCCCCTGTATATCTTATTCAAGGGCTAAAACTGCAGCACTTTTTTCATTCAGTACATCTCTATATCACTTTGGTTTGGCGGTTTGTCTTCTCTACTTTATCCCCCGGCATTTTTTTTTTACGAGTTTTGCCCCTTAGGGCGTGGCGCACTAAATCAGAGACATTTAAGCGCGTTTTGTTAAAAGTCACTTACTGCACTCGACCATGGCTCATTTGAGGGGTTCTACTTACCACATAAAAGGCACAACAGCAATAGCCATTGCAGTATGTTGCTGTAGTAGTTGCAACTATTGCTGCTGTTGCTGCGGGTGATTTTTGTGCGACAGCAACACCTACGCAATTCTGTTGTCGCGATGTCTGCTGATGGCAACATGTGACTTTGCATTTCCGCGTTTTCCAAGTTGTGGCCACAGTTGCAAGTTGCTGGTGTTGCTGCTGTTCCTGTTGCCCTGAGTGATGTGCTAAAAGCTGATAGTGTCTGCCACATTGTCAACGCTTTTAGACACTAATTAAGTGCGAAGCGAATGTTTGCTTGCCTCTGCAAGTCCTTACTAAATTATGCTAATTTGTATTCCTTAAATCCGCTTTTTTTCGGAATTGTTTACGTAATTTATTCAAATTTATTTTTAAAATATTACTTCGAGTTGGCACGCACTTTGTTACGTATTTTGATTTCTTGTTTGTGTTTTTTCAATTTATACTTTGCACTTGAAACTTTGTCTTCGCCACTGTTTCGTTCTCTTTCTTCTTAAGACTTCCTATCTCTTTCATTGCCGCGAAGCGAACGCGTCACGCAATCGTCAGAATTGCGACTGAATGCTCGGATGTTGCTGCTGTCTGTTTGTGTTGCTGCTGTCAGTCGATGTTGCTGTTGTCGCTGCTGCTGCTGCCGCTTGTGGTGGCTTCTGCCGGCAACATGTTGCCTGGAAAACGTCGATGGCACTGCCTTGCAGTTGTTCTTCCGCGAAAATGTTTGTCTTTTGACGTTTATGGACGATTTTTAGTACCGCCTCTAATTACTTCATATGCTGCTGCTCCAAAACATTTCCCTGCAAAACAGTGAGAGAGAGAAAGGCGGTGTACGCCTCAATTAGTTGTTGACACAGGCTGAAATATTAGTTTTATTGCTGTCTCGTAAAGTGTACAAAGTTCCAAATAAAAATTCCAGCGATCGTCACGTTCCGCGACCGTTTTCGGGATTGATTTATGCGTTTGGGGACCCCAGATAGGAAGTATCAGTGGCCCATCAGTGCCCATTGACCTTTCTCAAATCTCCCGGGGGCACAGAAAAAAAAAGGAATCAGACCCAGGGACTAATTAGCAGGCTGTCCACTCGACGGCTCCCAATTTGGGTATCGGATTTGGTTATTTCGACGGCCGCCAGCAATCGGCTTTTGCATTATTTACGACTTTTCCCCAATGCTCAATTATGCGCTTCAGTGCAGGAAACCGCACATTTGCCGCCAGTCCTTCAACTACTAGTGTTCCCCTAAAAAAAAAGAGTTCTGCTCCTCATCGCTTCCTGTTTTGGCATTGTTCTGCAATCGCTTTCTAAACAATGAAGGGCGATTGGTTTCGGCAGCACATGGAAAAATATGTCACATAAAATGGTTCTTATTTCTGTATTATTAAATTTAAAAATCGATCGATGTCATTTAATAGGCCTACGTTTAAACATTACTACTATTTGTAATTTAATATATTTAACAATAACATTTAATTCATGTCCTCAACATTTTTCATTGCAAGTTTACAAATCAATGCAGATTTCATTACAACTATATCAATGTTTAGTGCTTTTCGTAATTTATTTTAATTTATTCCTAACGTTTTGTAAATAAAATTGGATACATTTAAATAAATTCATGAAGCCTACTTTTATTAAAAAAATTAGATATTATAATTTTAATATATTCTATGGCAGATACATATGTTTACATTAAACTATTCAAGAATGTTAAAGTCCTTTAATTACCAACAAACATTAGAGAACATTTAAAAAATATTTTTTCTGTTATCGCTTTATTTTTTGCCGAGTGTATGCAAAGTTTGGCTAATTGGAGGGGCAGCATCAGCATTGTTGCATGCATTTCCAGCTGACAGACAATCGTGCGCTGAAACCAAAAATCACTTCCGCCTGGTCATCGATTGCTGGATGGGGCAGGGAAGTAGTGGGTTAAGTGGAGTGGTGGGTTAAGGGGGATAAAGGCCTGCACTTCACACATCATTTCCTCTGCTCAACATTTATTATGCCATTTGTGTGAGACCGAATTGTCACAATTAGTCGACAGTCGACGAGTGGAAAAGGGATGCTTGCTGTGGCCCTATATATAGACCTGTCCCCCCGACTTTTCCCCATCAGGTTCCCCCTTCCCCCTTCCCCCTTCCTCCTTCCATTTTCTCGATACCGAGGAGCCCTCGGATTCATTTATAATATTTTGTCATTGTCTGGGCCGGCGTTTGCTGCATTTTATTAATTTGTTTGTCATATTTTCACGTTTGTTTATTGATTAAAATGTGTGCACAGGCGTCTGACATTTTTTGATAGGAAAGGGGGCTGGGGGTTGGTTTTAAATCTGCTGCCAGCCGCTGTTGTTGTTGTTGTATCTGCGGTTCTTTCTGGCTGCTGTAAACATGTGTTGCCGGCAACATTATCACTGCTGTTGCATTGTTATTTTTATTCCCTGTCTGCTGCCCGCGCCCCCTTCAACAAAAAACCCCCTCCGTTTGCAGTCTGGTATTTTAAATAAAACATCATTTTTTGTAATTGTTGCCTCGGCGTGAAACATTCTATTGCCCCATCGTTCGCCCCCAGTTTCTTTGTTTACCTAGGCTACAGTTGCAAACATTTCCCTTTTCGCCGCTCTTCCCCACAGCTTTCCCTGTTTGTTTGTACAAATTATTATGAATGATAATTTTGTCTGTCGCATTTTTCATGCATTTTTCCCTCTCTGACGCTTTTATGGCCTCCATTGTTGTTTTAATGTCTGTGGCTTTGTTTTATGAATTTTATAATTAATTGTGTTTGACATATTTTATATGCTTTTGGTTTTGTTTTTTCTTTCCTCCCCTTTTTAACGCTTTGATTGATTTTGCCTAATATTTTGCAATTTATAATGACGGTGAAACTGCATTCGTTAGTTAATGAACAAAGGATCGGGAAATGGGTATTGCAATTAATATTTGGCATGCCATTAAAAGTTTAAAAAGCATTTAACATAATTGCGGCCAGCTTTTAACTTTTCTTTAACTTTGTTCTGCTGTTGTCATATTAATTAATCGAATGATTTTAATAAAGCTAGCTGGGGGCACATTTCCTAATGGCGTCATTAATTAATTGATAATAAATTGATTATAATTTCTAACTAAAATCAAAACAAAAAAAAAGGTATCCTTTTGGCATGTACATATTATAAATGCTAGTGTATTATAATACACATATAATTTCTGTAGAAAGATTTTGCCACCAAATAAAAAAAGGTTGGCAACAAAAAAAGTTTCTGATGAATATTTTGTAAGTAGAAACAATATACATCTTTAAGTAATTATTAAAGCCACTTTATTCAGCCTACCACAATGGAATAAATAAAACTCCTGTTCTCCATCACCTTGCGTTCAGCTTGTCTTTGTCATCGTATTTAATTCCGTTTCTTTTAATTATCTCTGATACAATTATTGAGTTTAACCTCAGCAACCACACGAAGGCAGTCACTGTCAGGACAGAAAACATTTGTATTGTAATTGTCATTTGGGTCGAGTGAACTTCCACATATGTAACTGTAACTGTCGCTTGTCGCTGGCATATTTTGGCCAAGAAGACAAATGACAAAAGACAATTAGCTAACTGAAGGCAGGAGGAAGCCTCTTAGACTTTTCGGCAATGCGAGTTGGTTTTAATTAAAAGCAGATTAGCATTGCGCGTGCAGCGAATTTGCGTGGGAACCGCCAGCCCAGCCACCCACTTTCCACCGAAACGATTGCCACCCCCATTTTCCGCCTTTTTTCTGAATGGAATGGGAAGGAGATGGGATGGAAGAGGATGGGGATGGGATAGGCTGGGTTGGGCACTCAAACTCACTAGCTTGTTACGCCATTTCAGGCATCTCAGGCGCATTTGTCTGGAGACATTGACAATGACAGCGGCTCAAGAGTTGGCTATATACTCGCCATATAGTATGGTATATCCGCGTGTGTCTGTGTGGGGTTAACTGTCGCAGACAATTGCCGGAATAAAGCCAACGCCACCTCGAGTGCCACCTCCTCTGGGCTTCTTTGCATTCTCACTCCTGCCACAGCGGCTCTCGTTACTTTTAATTCCAGTGCTTGAATGGAACATTTTTATGCACGCTTCTCGCATGCAACACGACTCGAAAGGGGGAGCCGGAAAAACACGAGCGTACTTACTTTACCGCTGCTTTTAAAAAAAGTCCTTCTTAGTTGTGAAATATTGAAATTTTATTTAAAAGCAACAGAAGATAAGTAAGTGGCCTATCAATAAATTCGCTGAGTAATCTAATATTAATTTGCTTTCAGACAAGTTCAACACCTTTTAAGTGCACTAAACATGTCTTATTAAATTTAACAATGTAACGTTTAAGACTTAATGCTTCTAATCAACAGAGATTAGTTTTCTTGTCTTAAGGCTGCCCAATTTTAATTGATTTTGTGGCTAGTTTAAGCCATGTATTGATGTTTCATATTTAATAGGAATATAAGCTATTTGAATGTGTGTCAGTTTATAGCTTGGCCATCTTTGATATTGAATTAATAATAATTTAATTAACAGTGCCATCAATTTTTAGAAGAATACAGTAGATTCTCTCAAGGCAAGTCACTTGTAAAGATTAACGATATAAATAAATTGAAAAGAGAATAAGTGCTTTAATGGAAAACGCATTCGAGACGGTAACGTAATTATACGCATAAACTCAAATTCAAATTAATTTTTGTAGAACTTCGGTTATTTTTCGCTAAGTGTGCAACTACTCCTTGTTACTCGCCACATCAGTCACCGCTCACTTGACACATTTCGCCTGCCATGACGCAATTGGCACGAAGACATGCCCAGCACATGGGCAATAAAAGTTGCAGGCGACTCCAGTTGTTGCTACTGTTGCTACTTCTGCTGTTTTTGTTGCTGCTGCTGCTGCTGCCGCTGCTGATGACTTAAAAATAGCTACAAGTTTTTCACACCAAATTGCCAGAGCGGCAGCCGCCAACAAATTGAAATGTTGATTTCAAAGTTTCGGTGCTCCAACGGGCCATCAGCTGTCAGGTGAGCATGAGGCCCAGATGGGCGAAAGTCCCTCGGATTGTCATAAATCTGTCGCCGCAGTCGATGACATTGATCCCTGGGTTGGTAATCTGGTATCTGGTGATACTACTGCCGTGGCGGAGGTGATGTCATCGATGGTGCAGCAGCATTAAGTCAGCGTCTCTTCCTGCTTCCCGCGGATGAAGCATTTAATTGCCCACTCGTTGTGTTCGCGCCAAGTCAAAGATTTTCACATCAGCTTAATTACTGCGACATCCACGTGCCCTTAACCCGTTGAATACGAGAGCTCAGAAATAGATTGTAGGTGCCTTAAAACAATTTAATACCTTTGCTTAAGCCCAAGGAAATTTGAAATTTTAGGTAATTTATTTGCATTATTAAAATGCTTTATTAAAAATGTTTTATATGGAGATTGCTCGCCTTTTCCTATTATATTTCAATCCATTTCAGAGAAAGCATGAGAAAACCAATTGAAACTCTTCTCAAAGAAAGTATTTATTCACTCGTTGGATTTCTCCACTCCTTGAGCAACACTTAATGGGTTAAATGGAGGGGCCAACGCAGCATTTTCGGAAGAGCTACATCGAATGGAAGACGAGCGAGCATCCGCCAGTTGGCTGCACTTCGCTGCACTTAATTGCCGCTGAAAACGCACAAATGCGCTTTTATTAAATACGCTTTAAAATTGATTTTGCACGGCCCACAATCGGCATGTGGTTAACCCCACTCCAGCGGACCGCCCATAATTTAACCCCCCTCATGTGGCAACTTTCC